TGCCCAGGAGCGTCTTGGTTGAATAGCAGCTCCGGGGGACAGCATTCAGGGCTGGAGGGTAGTTCATGGTGGTTGGTGAAGTCAGTGAAGCTGCATTCTGTGCTGTGACTGCCAGAAGCCTCGCGGGGCTGGGCCTCATCAGCGGGTGTCCTGTCTTTACATTAACGGAGGGGAGAGTGGCGAGCACTGGGCTCAGCTCAACAGCCCACCGGGGTGGCTCTCCAGGGTGGTGCCAGAGCTGAGAGACCAGGTTGCATGAAGGCCTTTGAAGAAGCTGGCACTGTGCCCTGACCGCCGGTAGTAGCTCCCTAGGGCTGTCATAACAAAGTGCCACTAACTTTCAAAAACAGAAATGTATTGTCTCAGTGCCAGAGGTCAGAAGTCTGAGATCAGGGTGCCGGCAGGGCCATGCTCCTGCAGGCGCTGGGAAGGATCTGTTCCCAGATCCAAGTGATTCTTCTGCTTCCGCCTCCCGTGTAGCTGGGACTACAGGCGTGCACCACCATGCCCAGCTAATTTTTGTATTTTTAGTAGAGATTGGGTTTCTCCATGTTGGCCAGGCTGGTCTCGAACTCCTGACCTCAGGTGGTCCACCTGCCTCGGCCTCCCAAGTGCTGGGATTACAGGCGGGAGCCACCGCGCCTGGCCCCTTCCTGTTGAGTAAAAGGAAGAACTTCAGGGTAAGACACTGCACAGTGCCTGGCATCTGGAGAGCCGCCAGCATTACCCCTGCCTTAGGAGGTAGTCAGCTCCCCATCACTACAAGGTATTGAAGACTGAGGGCCCCTGGGCAGGACAATAGAGTGAAGTTGCACTAGGGACTCGGGAAAGGAAACATGCTGTATTTCTAGGTACGGAGCTGCTGCCGCCTCTCTGTGACTCTGGTTCCAGGAAGAAGAGCTCAGAGCTAGGGTACCCTTCGTAGGGAGAAACCCAGCAGGGTTTGGGGTGTTCTGGGAAGCCAGGCAGCATGGCTTCAGACCCTGGCTCTCCCAGAAGCTGCTCCTAATTTGGCCGTGGTGAGGTTGCTGAGGAGAAGATGGCTGGGTCGCTTTGGTGGCAGCGTTCCCATTGCTCCAGGAGGGAGTCCTTGAGTGGGCCAAGGGGCACGAAATGCCCACTGATGAGTGAAGCCTTGTGCTGACACCAGCAGTCCTGGCAGCTGCAGAGACCATCCGAGGCCTGTCCTGCCTCTAGCCCTTACATGGATGTGCCAGGCAGCCCAGGCTGGGGCGTGCCGCCGGCCTCTGTCCTGTCTGTAGGCAAGGCCTGCCTAGGCTGGAGAGGGACTGCCACGTCTCGTCCAGTCACAATCCAGTTCCATTCTTCAAGCAGTGGTTAAGCACCTACTGTATGTCTGGCACTGCAGGTAAATAGAGCTCTCCATTTTTCTCAGGGTCGGCCCCAGGACTGACCCTGGGAAGAGACTGCTTTGGAGGACAGTGGTCACTGTCACTGGCTTAGCACGGGAACGAGGGCAGAGGGCTCCCCAGCGCAGTTCATCCTGAGCAGCAGCGAGAGCAAGGCCCAGCCCCGCTCTGCCCGCCACCTCCCCTCTGGCCGTCAGTGTCCTCTCTAACATGGTGGTGGGTGCTTGGGTCGGGGCGGGGGGGTCCAGGCGCCTCTAGCCATAGCAGTGCTGCTTCCTGTGTGAGGTAGGAAGGGCTGAAGGGAAAGGGCGTCGTCTCCACCCTCAGCCTCTGGGCGCAGTGGGCCAGGGCTCACCCTGCCAGCCGCTGCTCCCCAGCGAAGCGCGGCACTGTGCCCTCCCTGCTACGCAGTCTTCTGGGGGCAGGCCGGACACAGGGAGGCCTGGGGACAAACCAGAGGGGACGCAGATTATTTTTGAGAGTTAAATTTAAAGTGGGGCGAAGTTGGCCACAACATGGCTTTTCTCTGGAATTTTTCTCATTCCCTAGCCAAGGTCTATATATCTGTAAGTATGGTCATCAAATGAACATAGGTAATGAGTCATGTAATGAGTTTATATGTGTATTACATACAAACTAAATTTTATATGTATTATATATAAACTGAATTATATATATATAAACTAAATTATATATAAACTTAACTATATATAGTCTAACTTACATAAAACTAAATTATGTAAAAATTATAATTTATATATGAGCTTATCTAATGAATTATAATTTTAAATATATGAATTAAAATTAAATAGTTTATATATTAAACTCTAATGAGTTTAATATATAAACTATTTAATTTTAATTCATATATTTATAGGTATATAATCAGAAATATATGGTGTTTGTATATATACATATTCATATACATAGAGTGACTTTCTGCATATAAAGGCTACTTACATATAAATATAAATAGTCCATATTTCCTTTTGTTGAACCAATATTTTTATTACGTATTCTTCAGAAATGTCCTCTTGGCTTTAAAATTTCCAGAATATCATCTCTCATTTTTTGGATCTTCCCCATGTGACCTGGGTCAGAGTCAGTGATCCCAGGGAGAGAAGGGCCAGGTCTCAGCTCTTCTGATTCGGTCCCTGTGTTAGGCTGTTCTTGCGTTGCCTCGGGCTGGGTCATTTGTAAAGATGTAATTGGCTCACGGTTTTGCAGGCACCCAAGCATGACGCCAGCATCTGCCGGGCTTCTGGGGAGGCCTCAGGGAGCTTTTACTCATGGCTGAAGGCAAAGTGTGAGCTGGCAGAGAGAGCAAAGAGGGTGGAAGGGAAGGGGCCACACACACGTTTTTAAACAGCCAGATCTCAGGAGAACTCACTCACTCTTGCGAGGCCAGCACCCAGGGGATGGTGCCAAACCATTTATGAGAAATCCACCTCATGATCCAACCTCCTCCCGCCAGGCCCCACCTCCAGCACTGGGGATTACGACTCAGCGTGAGATCTGGGGGGACAAATGTCCAAACCATCCCAGTCTCCCTCACGTTCCCCCAGCGGACATTGGGGAGCCGCTGCCCAGGGTCGGGTGCTGGGGCCCTGGGATGGCGAGGACCCCCACCCAGCCCTCAGGAGCCCTCTGACTGTGTAAAGAGCTGAGTGATGATCAGTCAAAGGTACTCTGCTGGAGGGACGTGTTAGGGCCCAGAAAAGGGAGTTGCTCGCTCCCCTTAGGGTTGAACTGGTAAGGGGAGGTTTCTCAGAGTTAAGTTTAAGCCAGGTTTTGAGGGATGAGTAGGAGTCTGATAGGCAGAAGAAGCAACTCGAGCAAAAGCTGGAAGTCTAACAGAAGCATTGCCCTGGGCGACTGGCTGCAGGCAGAGGGCTTGCCCGGCAACCTGCTGTGCCACTGAGGGCCCTGGGTCTTGTGATCTGCTGCTCCTCCCTGCCCAGCCCCTCCCTCTCTCTGCCCAGTGCCAGGGGAAGACATTTCCTTCCATCCACCTGTGGACTCGGCTCCTGTCGGCCCTGGCTGGCCTCCTCTATGCCTCAGCCATTGTGGCTCACGACCGGCAGCCTGAGTACCTGCTGCGGGCCACACCCTGGTTCCTGACCTCCCTCGGCCGCGCGGCGCTGGACCTCGCTGTATCCACCCCAGGCCTGGGGAGTTCCCTGCTTGCAGCCCGAGGAGGCCTGTGTCTCCTCCCCTCACTGCCCCTGCTCCCACCCTCCTTTTCTCTTGCTAGATGGAACTCTCCCAGCAGTCAGGGAGTGGTTTGAAGCTTGGGGCAGGCAAACACAAATGCAATTATTTGTAGCTTTATGTTTCTTTTTTTTTTCTTTTTTTGAGATGGAGTCTCACTGTGTTGCCCAGGCTAGAGTGCAGTGGCGTGATCTTGGCTCGCTGCAACCTTCACCTTCCAAGTTCAAGCAATTCTCCTGCCTCAGCCTCCCAAGTAGCTGGGACTGCAGGTGCATGCCACCGCATCTGGCTAATTTTTGTATTTTTAGTGGAGACTAAACATTTTTGTATTTTTAGATGCTGACTGTGGATAATGGCTATGGCGTGTTGGTGGTGGGGTGTGTGTGAAGGCAAGGCAGGGCCACACCTTCTCTGCAGGCACCAGAGGGATCTTCACTTGCCTCTTCCAGCTGCTAGTGGAGTTGCAGGAGCTGCTAGTGGCTCCTGGTGTCCCTTGGCACATGGCAGCATCGTTTTCATTTCTGCCTCGGCCTTCACATGGCCTTCTTCCCTTGGTGTATCTTCGTGTATCTCCTTTTCTTATAGGGACCCCAGCTGTTGGAGTTAGGGCCCAGTCCAATCCACTATGA